TCGAAGCCTGTCGCCTCGGGCTGTCGGCGTGATGGAGATAGTATTGGGGCGCGTGGGCGCGGCGTGTGGGGTTGGCAAGAAGCACGGAAAAAGCGACACATGAGACATGAGAAGAGCTCCAGTGATAAACAAACGGGTATAAAGAGCTTTCGCGAGCAATTTTGCGAGGATGTTCTTGCGTGTGACAGTGATGCTGTGAGGAAAAGTTAGTTCATTATACATAAATTGTACATTAATTGACAATTATTTTTAATTGAATGTGTAAGTCCTCCATTGGCGCATTGGCTTCAATGTATTTTTGAAACATGTAATAAAATGGAATATGTCTTTTCGTGCCTAATGGATGGTAATCACGCGAAATAATGACAAATGATACGCATTCATTAATAATAAAATAAGACATTGACTGTGTTTTGTGTGTGATAAATGCGTGAGTGAATATTCTTAAATGCATTATATCTTTATCTTCACTTGTGCCATTCAGTATTAAGGTGTGATTTCACTTTTATTCTAGGGAAAATGACATTTTCCCGTACAAAATGCTCATTTGATAAATTCCACATCAGAGAAATTCTCGGAAATTATTTAAAAATAACATTTAAAATGTAATTAAATTTAATGTTTCTGTCTGTAGTTGTGGCGTTGGTTGTAAAAAGTCGGCATTGTGACTTTGTATTCTCAATGGCGATGAGATGTTGGGTTATTTGTGAAAAATTGAAAGGTCTGTATCATAAAGAGTGAATATAATGACGAATTTCCGCTGTATAATCCGTGAGATGGAAATTCTTCTTGCATTTTCACAAACAGATTTTATTTTTACTTTACTAAATATAATTCCATTTCGTAATTCACTGGAAATTGAACTACTTTGAAGCTCAAAAATTGAATTATGTACATGGCTTACAGGTGATAAGCAATGCGTTTGTGTATAACTCTTGGCACAAAGCCAAGAGGAGCTTTTGTATACCGAAATACAATTCAATATTCAGTTTTATTTCTTTAAAATGCTCTTTGAGATCTTGCAAAGTTTTATTCATCTTTGTACAGAGGGAATAAGGGTGTCTTTGTCCTTCTTCTTATCGCGTAAGTCCATAAAATGTCTCTTTTGAAGCCTTTGACTCTAAACTTGGCCATTAATTGATAAGAGGAGGAACAAAAGGAATTCATTATGGAGTATTCTTCTTTGTCAGCGATTTCGTCACTCGGTATGAGTTTGACTGACGCAATTAATCTGCTATATCTGAGCTGATTTTGTGGAGAACAAGGGTCATAGTGAGATGATGATCGCTCTCTAATTGAATGTTAATTGCAAATGACAGTGGTGTTGGTAATGTCTCAATAATCTCGGTTGTGTTTGGAACACCGCCCGAAACATTGTCCTCTGGTGTTCGGCATTGATTGAATTTCAGTCTCATGCAGCATAAACTTGTTGAACAATGTATATAGAGTGTGAGGTCAACTGGACAGAGAAGGCGGAAAGAAGAAATAGTGTGTCCTGAGAGTAATTTTCTACTCACCAGTTGGTGGGTAAAGTTATCTATGTGTTGTAAATGCAACTGGGATTAATTGGAATTTCCTTAATTCACATCCATGGCGTTACATTTAGCCACCCAGTGAATATAAGTGTAATTCAATTTCAACTTATTGCAAGAATGGCAATGTTTTTCACAAGTTACTTCCTCATATACATAATTGAATGGCGCTGTAACTCTTCACAATTAAGCTTTCGAGTGGATTTAATTTCACGAAGCACGCGACATAATTTATCGTTCAATGGCGCACTTGTACTCGCTTTCCCTCGTCTATTTGTATGTCTATTCGCCGTTCCTGGGCCTTTTCTCTCACACTAAAAAAGGCGCAAGGAGAAGGAGAAATCCGTGTGGGTGGTGAGAAGCGTAAGAAGCGCAGAGATAAAAATATACAAGAACAGTTTTTGTGTGATACCTTTTCTAAGGGATGGGCAAGGAAGATGTGTCCGTGAAAGTAATGCGACGAGAGACGAAAAAAACAAGGATATGGACATCGATAGTGATCTCAGGGCGAGAGACTCCATTTAAGGAGACGAAATGATGGTCAGCGATAAGGGGTCTTTTACATAATTTTCCAATTTTCTTCCTTCCCTCCTTTAGGATCGTTAGTTGATGCTATCAGCAGGGGGGAAATTTACTTCCACTGCGATTGAGAGTTAGATTGCACTGATTGGTAGACTCTCGTGTCATTCACCGACAATTGACATAAATGTAAGGAGATAAATTAAGTGCTATTTGTTAACTTGAGCTCCTGTGACGGCTGAAAAGAGCTCGCATAGATGAGATTTCATTCAACTCTTATCTTATTTACGCTCTTTATGGTGTAATTTTTCAAATTCAACAAACTCACGATACAATATAGCCAGAAATATTTAAAGAGTTTTTTCAGGATTTTGAGCGTCGCAAATTCTGCTATAATTCAACTCTGTGCATGATATAAAGCTCTAAAATTAGTCAAGGAGAACACCTGCTCGCAATGAAATCTTTTTGAGAGATTGGAGCTGTATTAAAAAGTGTCCTGACACTTAAATATTCCACGGCAAATGCGAGGGGCGAAAGTTGTGTACATGGAGAAATTTGAATGAAGATATTCATTCCTTCATATGTATGTATGAGATGAGCGAAAGAGAGAAATTGGTAAATTATGCAATGTTAGGAAAGTTTTCGCAGTGTAAATATTTCTGAAGACAACAATTCTCTTGAGGAAATTTTCACATTTAAAGCATGGAGTGCCTGAAGGAGACGCTGCGATGTTTTAAAAGGGAATTCATAATGATATCGTTGAATTTTATCTTGGAGTTGATTCATTCAAGGGATCCAAGTGTGGGCGCGACACACAGACGAGAACAGGTGATGCGGCTATGTTTTCCTGTGGAGCTTTTGAAAGTTTCTCGCAAGTATTTTGTAAATTTTATGAAATTGCAAGAGCTTTTGTAAAATTTTATTATTATAAAGTCCTCTCAAATTACTTTGAGTGATGCTCACTCATGTAAGATAATACGAAGGAAGTGGGTTTTTCCTCGTGGAGCTACTTTCAATTCCTTCAAGATTGAGTGCAAAGTTTTAAGTAAATCCAAATTGACGCCAAGTACATACAATGTATACACATGATTATAACGTACGGTGATTCTCACCTAGCAATTTTCCATGACCCTGTTGGGTGCGAGAAAGTTCATGCTTCTTTGCAGAATGGGACGTGAGAGTGTGAGGAGCGGTTTGTGTAAAACTGCCCTGTTCTCTTCTCCTACACTGAAAAAAATTGTCTCACAATGAGCACAATATTATGGGTAAATATGGAAACAAAATCTAAAATTCTGGTAATGATAATGAGTATCATCCGAGCTTTTACACAATTTTTCAAAACCCCAAATGCTTTCCTACCATTTTTATGGTAATTATTACTTGGATTTTTGCATTTCTTCTCTAACCCATAGACAAGATATTTTTGCAAAAATAATTACAAAATAAAATCACAAAATTAACTATTCAAGTTGGAAACCATTACCAACGATGAAAGCATTTTTTACAATTTACCATAAAAATAGTAAAGCAATTTCTGTGCAATTTACCGGTCTTAGACCACTGGGACAGCGACTGCAGCGTCACTTGTCATCTTGTGACCTCGCGCAAAAGCTCATATGGGAAAAATTATCATGTATTATTCTCAGTGTGCATGCTGAAATCCATGACTATGACGCGAGGGGAGGAATAAGAATAAAACTGAAAGCTAATTCGTGTAGCGCGCCGATGTGTTCTCATTAGAAGCACCTAGCCAACACCTGTCCACTTTAATTAAGCTGTAAAAGTTTTATTATCTTCACGGATGAATTAATTTTGTTGGTGAACAAAGAGTTATGAATGTTCAATCTAGTCAAAAGACGTGATAACATTCAATGGCATGAGATTGTGTTCCATATTCAAACTCTCCTTTTTTTATGGGAAATGACTAGATGGTTAGATATTATTAGCTGAATGCGTCTATGAGTAGAAATTTGTTCTTTTTTCCAACTTGTATTCGGTTTCCTTGGCCTGTGTTGTACATATTGTTAAACAAATAACATTCTGAATGGGAAATTTTGCCGATAGAATCTCTCACAAATTCAAATTAATGACACAATAGCATGGAAATTCTAGGGGAAATACAAAAATGTATCGCGTTGCCATCTTTGACACAGTGTGAATGTGAAATTTTCTGATTTGGTTATTTGATAATTTTATGTTCAAAGTACACACATGGTTTAGTTTGCGAGCAGGATGAATGAGAAGCAATTTTTTCTCTGTATCAATTTCCTCCCCACGATGTGTGTAAAATCTGGATTTCTCCCCTGTGTGTGTGTGTGAGTGTAAAATGGAAAAATCGATCAAGTGTAAAACTCTTGAAATACAGGAAATTTGTCAATAGGAATCACCAAAAGGCGATTCAATTTTATGGGTTTCTTTTTAGGGGATTTTCTCTTCCGAATGGTGCGATATTTGCTCATTGAGGTAAAATTTATCAATGATATGGAATAAAATATGAATTGAGTGAGACTGAAATATGATTGTGATAAAGTATGAAAAATGTAGGTTAAAGCGGAAGCTCGCCGCGGTGTTTATGGAAGAATGTGTGGTGGGAAATCAAATGAATCCATTCGACTGATGACTCAGCGTTGCTGGAATAGTAAATAATTGTATATTGTTTCACTTATTCATTGGATTCATTTCATTTTGCCGCCCCTTTGACATATTTCTCCTTTTCTCAAATAAATAAATTAATACAGTGAGCATTAGCACGCCATAAAGTGGGCATGAAGACTTCCTTCTTCATCCGCTGGTCTTTTTTCTTCGTTCCTTCCCTTGTATTGCAAGCTCACAATGTGCATAATTTATCACAATATAAATATTCAAGAAACGTCTTTCAATATATGTACATTTTGTGGCTCTCACGCATTTATTTACTCACACTTTGCCTCTTTTTGTCTGTGTTTGCAGGATTCCGGGTCTGGCACTCCGGTCACATTGCGGGTGGATGCAAAAGGATTTTATTTGTATTGGGTGGATCAGAACAATGAAATGGATCTCCTCGATATCGCGACTATAAGAGATGTGAGGACAGCACAATATGCCAAAAAACCGAGGGTAAGTTATGTTTATTCTGTATTGATTGCCCCTCAAATGATATTGTGAATATTTTGAGACGATGGATATAAAGAGAGGAGCAGAAAGCCATGAAATTTAAAGGCGTAGAATGGATAAAAAACACACATGAAGCGAAAACGCAAGGATATAATGTGCGGGGTTAAAGGGGGAAAGGGGGGGCAAAAGAGACGAGAGAGATTATGTGAAGGGTGACAGTAGGAAGAAGTTAATAACACCCAATTTTATTGACACTGTCTCTCGCATCTATAACAAGTTTAGTCCTAAATATATCTTCGCATGAAGCGAAAAGACACAAAAGTCAAATGGAATCGTGTTGGGCAGGGCAATGCGAGGAGAAAAAGGGTTGATAACAGGAGAATTTACTTTGATTTTACGTATTTCACCACCCACAATCGCAACTTGTTCGTCACTTTCGTCTCTCTGACTGCGCCATGGCGATATAGTGAATGCGGGTGCTTAGAGACTATAACAAAAGCTCCTTAACCACCCAGACCAGAACCCTACATTTGACGTGGAATTGATTCATTGTGTAGCAAAATGTTATAATGCGATATTGATGACAATGAGCGTAAGGTGTTTAGTGTGTTACATCTTCACTCACTGAAATGCCACACAAGCCAAAAATTAATTTGATTATTTTCACGTATTATATTTCCACTTGCAAATGGTGAGCAGAGCGAGAGTCAATGTTGTGTTCATGAGAGAGGCGAAAAGGAAATTTGAGGAATATTTATCACCTAAGATGGGGAGGAAATTGAATTTCACCACGATACAAGATTGAAAGTTAATGAAATTTTATTGTTTCATCGCATCTTGATTGACGCAAACAGAGTGAAAGAGGAAGAGGACTAAATATCACACATGACTGTACTTTATAGCATTTTTTGCAATCTTTATATCTTGTTCCTGAAATTTTGATCTTGATCTCGAATATTCTGCATGAAGAGGAAACGAGTCTCGAAAAGTGTTGGAAATTTATGGACTGATGTGAATTGAAGTGAAAACTCTCATTATACCCAGTTTATGAGTTGGTGTGATGATGAACGCGGCGTGCTGAGAAAAGAGAGTCCATTGAGGAAAATGGCAATCAAATGTGGGAAAATGATTCGCTGTTTTCGCGTTCGCGTCGTGTCGAAGCGAGGGAAGTGAAAATTGTTTCAAAAATGTGTGTTAAACTCTCTTTTTTTTGGAAGACTCCCATCAAGCGTGGAGATTTCAATCTACAGGCGCGCGGCGGTGTGTTAAAATGAAAAGTGGGAGCTTTTGGCAAAAGTTCATTAAGTATTGAGGAAGTTTGCTTGCGCGAGGGCTTTTATATTGATGGGAAGGTCGCATGGTGTGATAATGCAGCTAAAATGGCAAATATTTATATACACTTTCCAATAAATTTTCCGATACTTAATGCTTTCAATCTCACGTCACGACGTGTTTGTCTTGATAATTTCACACCCAGCCAATGTCGTGCTGCACGGTCCTTTCGCTGGGATGTATTTGGTGTAGAGAATTTGAGGCATGGCGCGGTATATTTGTACACAATTCGTTAGTCAGAATGCCCAAATTTAGGATGGGAGGCAAATGGTTGATGATGCGCGAAATCATGTCTAAAATTTCTACAGATTGGGTGAATTTCTGTCATGGTGTCGTTGGGGGTGGCGTGTCTGCCTTTTTGCGAGATTCTGCCAACTTTGGGGCGAACGCATGGTTGGGGGAGCGAACAATTGGGTGTGGTGCTCACATGTTAAGTTGATGTGACGTCAGAGGAGTGAAATATACATGAATGCTGGGGTGTAGAATGGTAAATGGCGACAAGGGTGGAAGATTGTTGCTAAAATTCTTGTTGCTGCTCAATTTCGAGGCGAGAATGTATTTCAGGGGTGCAAATGACAAAGTCAAGACATACTCTTGGCATTGTCTTTAAAGAATTCTCTACTCTTGGTGAGATTGTGGAGTTTTCATATAGGAGAGCGTGGGGTCTTTATGACTAGAAAGGAGATTTTCATAAAGAGATTTCTTCCAACTCTGCCCCAAGACGTTTAAGGGATTCCCGTATAATCAAGCCTGATATCTGTGAAGGGTAGAAAACAAGGCAGAGATTATGCCACAAAATCTTCTGACATGAGTTTTACCCCGAATTTCTCTCTCTCTCTTCGTGGAATAAAAATACCCCTCTAAAATAAATTTCATTCTATGTTTAGCAATTTGGGAACACAATTCTCGTATACGAACGCAAAAGCACAGAATATCTTCCAAATGTACTGACTTTCAATTGTCTTTCTTTCCTCATGAGATGGCGAGTGTTAGTGTACGAGTCCTTTGTTCCCACTCGCAATGAGCTTTATTAATATCCTTTAATTCTGTTCTGTACTGGATTGCAAGTCACAGACAAATGTGCAGATAGTTTAATCGAGGAGAAAATTCACGAGATACTTTTCAGGGGGAATTGAGAATGTTTAATGCACTGACATTAATTACACAAGTTCACACGTCAGATGCGAGAGCTCATGGATTAGTTGTTGAAATTGAGTAGAGAGTGAATATAATTTTTTCAGAATGAAGCGCGTGGTTCGGGATCAAACGCAAGAGAGGAAATGAATGTCGGCTGAGAAGATACAGATTAGGAAGTTTTATGTAAGGAAAAGTTTTTTTTCCTTGTGAGAAATGTTTTCACATTTACATTTTTTTCCTTGTCGTCCTGCGTGGTGGAAAATTGAGAAAATATTTCCAGAGATTGCAAAGTTAGAATGTAATTTAGGTTTTATATTACTTCCTTCTGTGAGATAGTCTCTGGAACGTTACATGCATTAAACTTTTCATACGGACACAGTACAAAGTCGAGCCACATTTGCTGTATTCTTCCCGACAAAATGCTGACAGAGTGAAATTATTTTGCAATCTGAACAGTTTGACTAGCTCGAACTGCGTAAGAAGTTCCTAGTAATTGTATCGCACGTACCATAGTCACTGTTCGTTTAGAGAATACTCAGAGGTCGAGGGAAAGTTTGCTGAAGGAAGTTATGTGTAAATATCATGTCAGTGCAAGTTCATAAGTCAATAAAACAAAACTTTTCACGCTCTGTATAGAGTTAATATTAATATTTAAAATAAATAACATTTATTATACAAGACTTAATAGGCAAGACTTTCACATATATTCCCTTATTTACACATTTGTTTATTTTGTCATTCAAAAGAAAACCAAATGAGGATTCATGAAATATGTGGTTCCAAAAATTGCGTATATTGAATCCTAATGAAGGAAATTGAACCGAAAATGTTATTTTTGATTACAATTTTATGGAAATAAATTTGAGGTTCTTCCAATTTCATAGTGATGAAATATCATACTTTCATATCAGGCGAGGTAAAGTGAAAAGGACTTTGATGTTTTAGGCAAAACAGAGAGGGAAAGGTACGTTCTAACCGAATAGGGTATTTTAGTGTATATTTAAAGGCGGTTTTGCTTTGTTTTACCATCAATATTGTCTTTTCATTGAACTCCAATTAGTATTTTGCATGAAATAATGTGTAGTTCTGTCTCATGTTCTTTACGATTAATTAATATCAGACATTTATACCGTGTAAAAATGTAAATTTAATGTCAGTAATAAAAAAAGACAGCTTAACGATTGCATAGTTGAATAATTTTACACGGCATTTGTATTGCTTTATTGCAAGTGTGTACATTTCACCCTCGTTTAGCGTTTTTTTTTTGTCACATCTGAATATTTATGTGAAGCGTGTAACATGTTATGAGATGCATTTCGATGGGACATGCATAATTTGAATGTGTTAAATCTGGGAATAAATCGTGATATAGAATTGCATGCAAAAGAGGAAGAAAGTGTGTTTTTCAGTCAATTGAAAGGAGTGAAATGAAAAGCTAGGGGAAGTATTATTGTGGAGTTCTGGGATACATTGGACGGAATCAAAGACTGTGTCTAACAATGACGTCAATGTTACCCCAACTCTGTTCGTTTCCTCTTCCTGCTGCCACTCTTCTATATAGATACTCAGTATAACATGTATAATTTCTATCCCTATACTCACTACTTGTAGAATCCATTTCAATGCACACATTATAACACGATTCCATCCCTTTTCACACTCTCTTTCTCTCTCTCTCTCGCTCTCTCTCCTCTTCTCTGCGGGGACGCGCATACTGGTAAATAAGTGTGGGGCTGAACGAGAGATTAGGCTCTCACCTCAAAGCTATCTATATTAACAAGGATTTCAAGTATAAAGTGAATTGCAATATGACCTTAAAATGTTCTAACTTGAGCTCTTGGAAGTGTCCTAAAGAGGACGAAAAGCCATTGAATAGTGAAACTACTGCTCGTTGGTGAACACAAATTACACTCCAACGTATTTCATTACAGAGGCACAATATTGTGTGCTGTCTAATCTAAATGCCAGAAGGAAAGACAGCGTCCTTGCGCAGGGAAGTCACGTCTGAGATGTCTAAACAATAATTTCAGCTCTTGTCTGGAGGTATTTAGATGAAATTAGCGACTCACTACAGTTTACCAACATATATTACAAGCTATCTATGGCTCTATGCTTGAAATCTGATTGGATATTGTTTCAATTAGAATCTCTAATCCGTCCATTATTTGACTGCAATAATACAAACAAAACGGCCAGGCATTGTTGGGTTTGCTCCGTTGAGATAATGGCTCTCTTTTGGGACTAATGAATAATGTGGGAATAAATGAATTATGGCGCCGAGATTGTAAGTCTCAAAATCAGAAGGTACGACAACTTTGCTGATGAAGCACTAACAATAGGGCAAGAGGGGGTGGAATAATTTGAATTTTCACACAAGTTCCATCGCGCACTGTACATATTTTGCTTGTGATTATTATCATTGGCATCATAGAGATGTGTATTTATGCGGGGTAGAATATTTACTTACATTGTGTCATTTAATAAATTGATGTTGGAGCCGGTGCGGTGTGTGATAGTGACGATGAAGGGGCAGAAGCATATTCACATGGAGTCCTTTTCAGAATGTAAACATTTCATAGCAAAATTTCCCACCTGTCTCGTGTGTTACAGGGTACATATTTTATGTATTTCTCACTTGTTCTGTGTTTGACTTAGTATGGTTTTGAATATGCCGAGGAGGAATAGAACGGAAATTATCGCTTTTGTACTGTCGTGTTTGTACAATTACGCGTTTGAGGAGTGTGGATTTGAAAAGTGTGGGTTGGCAACGTATAAAAGGAGGCTTGTCGACCATGACAGGAGAGGAGAGAAAAAGCTTTGAAAGCTTTTCATACCCAAAACATGTAAATGGATCTATACGAAATGTAAATGTGAGAAAGTCAACCTAAGGAAATCATACATGAGGAGAAGAAAAAATGATTTTGATGTGGAGGCAAACAAGCTCTTGCCCCAAGCAATTCTTTGCTTGTCATTTTACATGGTTCAACATAGAATTTTACTTAGTATAAGAATGCCATAGTCATTCTAAGGAATATTTTTAAGATATCTCGTCGAACTCGTGCCAATTGGTTGTGTTGCAAGAAATGTAATTTAAACATTGTTTTCTGGACAGCATGAGTGAATATGTGCTGCAAATTAGTATTTGATGAAAATCTGTCAAGCGCTAGAGGACAATTTATTATTTATTATATTATTGTGGACGCTTGAAATTGATAAACATTTTGTAATCCTTTCGTAAGCCCTTTTTGGAAACTGTGTGTACTGTTGCAGTGCGGATTCGTGGTATTTGGCTGGAATTGATATTTTTCAGTGGCTCGGACGTGAAAGAACTGCGATGGCATTTTCAATTTGTCATACTTTTTCGCTTTGACAGCGTCAGAATGGGATGGTAAATGGCTGGAGCTTTTGCTGAACAAATGACTGGGTAAAGTTTGAACTTTCCATGCGGGCACTTCGCACTCATAGTTTGCTCAAGAGATGAATATGCAAGAGCATACGTATGAATTTTGTCGGAAAATGGCAATAAATCATATAAAAATTATAACATTCACTTGAATATGACACTCGTGCTGTGTACGCTCTCACTACGTGCGGGAACTGCAGATGAAATAATTATAGAATCACGCAGAAATTGCTTGGTTATATTCGGTTGAAGTGCAGCGATGATATGAATTTGCTAAAAACATGGTGTGCCAAAGTTATCCCGAAGGATTTTCTTGTTATTCTTGAGAACTAAAATTGGATTTTCTCTTTCTATTATCTCTTACAGGACACGAAGTTGCGCCAAATCGTCACGATGGGGTCGCAGGACACGCTGGAGGAGAAGACGGTGTCTGTTTGCTATGGCGTGGATTTTGTGAACGTGACATTTATCAACTTCTGTTGCACACGAAAAGACATTGCACAGGTGAGTATCAAACTATTCTCATTGGGATGTGAAGTGAGGGGATTCTTTAAATTTGACAAATGGCTTTTTGCCACTGGTTAACATATAAATTTCAACGGATGATTGAGCATCGTTGACCAAACGATGAGAGTCATATCAAAGTTGTCACATAACATAAAGTTAAATCGTGTGTTTTTTGGCAAACATTTGCGCCCCGGGGCATGATTTGTTTGAAAAATGACTGTGTGGGTTTCGGTATTGTAGGATTGGGCCGAAGAAGGAGACGTGCTGGGGAGAAAAAAATTACAAGGGACATTAAATATCCTCGAAAAAAGTTCAAAGGATAAATTTGTGCTCGTTTTAGCACGCTATAAATATTCATCTCTTATGGCCCCTTTTTTATATCCTGACTTTTTATATTCTTCTGACCCCATTTGCGAAATCGATTATTATTTGTGAAGTGTAAGCTCGTGAGGTATGGGCAGGACGTGTTTGGTTTATGAGTAGGACGAGAAAGGGTGAGAAAAATGAGATTTTTCCTTTGACTACATGAATGAGTTCAAAGTTAAAAACAAGAAAACTTGGAGTGTCCTATTTTCTCTTCAATGCTCCAAGTCAAGTGACTAAAAATAGCCTGATGTTTTAGATTTAAAGGAGATGAGCAACAAGGAGCTGCCATCAAAGTGGGGTTGGAAGAATGTGTAGCGTCAGGATCTGAAGTACATACACATAAGATTCGATGGCTATCTTATATCGTGCGGCGAAGGGAGAGAGAAAGAGAAAAAGGGACGATCTGGGATTGCGGAACAATGAGATATTCTTGTAAATTGCGATATTGATGGTCGAAAAGGAGTTGTGATGGTGTCTTATTGTGGGGCGGGAATGGACAAAAATTGATCACTTTTTCTTCCTTGTCCAACTAAATATGGGCGGGGCTCAATCTGATCCTTCGCCCCACGGACTTTGTGTTTTATGGCTCATGGGAATGTAATGAGGAGAAATCGTGTTATGTATAGGAATGCAGGACATGATTTTTATGTTTCCAATGTTTATTGGCGATGGTGAATCTACTTTGCACTCTATTATTTGCATTCCATCGTCTTGCTTTCCGCTTGGAAAACACAGGTTTTTTCCTCGTTTTCCTCTGGCGTAAGCACTCTGGGTCTTGAGGCATGAACTGCGGGTGGAAAAAGGCACTATATGGACTTTTGAAAGGAAAAGCTTTAGTCATAACCATTTTATTCTCTTTCACACTATTATCGCCACAATTTCATTTTGTGGAAAATCTTTATGGGGCTCTAACCGGTGGGTATAAACTTTTCATGGCAATTATTGAAGTTCCTCTTCTTCTGTTCCCCTTTTTTTCCCACCTCCTTTTCTCCTTATGTCGTGCCGCGTGGATTCTCTCCGCCGCGCGAGTGTCAGTGGAAAATTTCATTTAGAAGTCCTTTTTCACACACTCAAAATGTGATTTTTTGGGGCCAAAATTAGCCACAGGGCATGAGTGGTGAGCCATATGAGAAATGATTTTTTAATTGGCAAAATGTTCAATCCGGAAAATGTTGGGTTGTGAAAAGCGACGGCTGAAATGCAGAATTTGTGTACTTGGGAAGTACTTTCGTCAGATCCAATGACAATATAGGTCGACTTCGAATACCAAAAATACACATTCCACATATTTGCCATCGCCTGGAGTAATTTACTCAAGCACGGTTATCACAGAGAGAGATCTTCAATCATAGCCGTGCATGAATTTTCGCGAGAGATAGAGACTTTTTGTTCTGTAATCAAAAAAATTCTACGCCTGCAAAAGTGTCATTTCATCACGCTTAATGATAAATCAATTGGGGAGCGAAAGAATCATCAGGAGGTCGTTAAAAAAAATTTGATCTCACCACCCGATGGTAGGTAAATAATAAATATTTGATGTTTATGAAATAAAAGAGATACGAGTGAGAAAAAATTTACATTATGCCACAGTCTTTGCTGGCTGTGAGTGTTGGAGGGGAAAACAGCCACAGTTTTGAGAAAGCACACTGTGTAAATAACGTGAAAGAAGCAATTTAACGTGTTGAATGGCGTTTTGGATGTACGCAAATGCTGGGGTGTGTAGAACAAAGAGAGTCTTCATCAATCGATATTTGATTAATTTCACTGAAAGGGATTCACTATCGAAAAAGGGGTGAAACTTTCACGGGGCGTTTTTATGTTTTTGTGTCTTCATGGACTTGAAGCTTTAGGCATTCGACTTGCCACAAGTGGAGTTATTTATTGAGGGCTTTCATTTAATTAATTAAATTGTTCAATACTGGAGTGGAATTTGTATAGACAAAGGAGAAGCTAACATCGTTTTGTCCCTTCTTCCCTTGTTTTCTGCTCAATAAACTCTATAAGTTGTACTCTGGCCTCAGTGAATGACAATATCCAGGATTTCTTTTTCATCTCTGTGTGTTCAATTTTGAAAATATGAAGGAGAAAAGAAGGCAATGCTGAGTGATACAGCACAAAGCGCTTAGTCGTTGTGAGGGATTCATCGGCAATTGGAGCATCGAGAAGTCAACATAATCCAATTTGTATATTAAAGTTTTCTCTGTTCAACTTTATCTTCCAATATGAAATTGTGCTGATGAGAGAGAAGCGAGCAAAGAGCTTTTGTCGCTGCTTCCCTGGCGGAGGGACATGAGAAAGAGTGAGGAGTGGAATTCAATTAGCCAAAGTAACCACGTTAGAACTCATGCTTAGTTAAATAAATCGATCCTTCTGCAAAATGTGAGGGAAACAGTGTGAATTTCCATGGTAAAATCTCTCTGCAATTTGATTTGTTGAACTTGAGTGTGAAGTGAATTATGTGTAACTATTATAATTTTTATGCTTATACGGCTCATACGTTAGAAATTGCATGTCTTCAAGTGTGGTACTTCTCGAGACGGATCTCGAAAGTCACCCCTTGAATGGGTAATTCGTGTTATCGTAAACTTTCCGCTCCGCCAGCCTTTGTGTGATTTTAATTAAAGATAATATTGATTAGATTTACACAGGAGTGAAATTGATGTTGAAACAAATCACATCCCCTCGTGGTTTTGGGCGAAGCAGCATTAATGACAAATTCAACAATGACCCCAATGATTGATTGTCCCAATTACGAGCCCTCGAGGATATTTCCGTGAATTCCCGAAGTGGAATTATGCTTGTGACAAAGGATACTAAACATATTGAGTGCTTGAATACAACTTTCCTTTTCCACGGACCCAAAAGTCCTCGTGTGAAAGCAAGTCTTGCTGCACTCTGCAAAGCTCCATTTGCTCTCTTCTCTGCCTCTATACATGGGATCTGATGAAGTGAGAAGAGGAAGAGTGTTAGGATTTCAATTTGTACCTTTTTTCTCTTCTCTCGTGCGAGAAGCTTTATCAATTTTCTTCGCTGTTCTCAATGTTCGCCCGATAATTTGATTTATTATGGGAGTATCTCTCCCTCCGCGTCTATAACTACGTACGCAACACACATAGCGAGTATGCGTATTATTTTTATCACAATATTGAATGGGAATTTCAGCGTCTTACGCATTTTTTTTGCCTTCAATGCAGAAATCTGTGTAGAATTTTAAACAATTTTGTGATGTGTAAACAAACGTACGGTATAAACTTTAAAGATTGTAGTTTGAGGGTGTTTATAATAATCATATTATTAGCGATGATGAGACATAAATGCTCCCATAGAATTTCTATATTGCAATTTTTATCATCGTGTTACAATATGCGTGGAAAAGAGAAATTCCTTCTCCTCAATAAACAGATAAATGTTCAATTTCATACGAGATGACTTACTAATATCAATATTATTGTACAGAAGTGTCAAGATTTCAACTTGAGATCTCCTTTGCCGTCTTTCTATTGTGAGTGGGATGGTATTGTTGCTTCTGCAAGTGCCATATCGTCTTATTAAATGTTAACAATGGTTGGGAAATGCAATTTCGCAGGTTTTATTAAATTTATTCTCAATCTATTTTTAGAGTACATTTCCAATTCAATAAATAGAATATCAATATGACGCAGCCTTGCCAGAGATGAATTGAAGATGGTGGCTTTTGAATTCCACAGCAAATAAGTTTAGAGTGGCATAAAGAGTAAGCATCCAATACAATCATGTGCATTTCATAAGAAAATCATGAGGTTTTCTACCTCACATTTATTACAACTTTTCATATCTCTTTGCCAAGCAGACATTTTCGCAATGAAATATATATAACTTTTGACCTCAAATCGAGTCAAAGTTTAATAATAACAAAGTGCGTGGATCTATTTTCGCTTGTCAATTTTCGCAAAAAGTGCTTTCGAGAATACTTTTTCACCCTCTCGGAAATATGATGTTTTTGTTCCTTTGAATTTTCAATATCACATCTTATTTGAGAGCTTTCAAGAGTAGAACTGAAGGAGGATGAAAAAAAACTGGAAATCACATTGTTCTTTCCACGGTTCGTGTTGAATATACGAAAAGGTATTATATGAATTATTATTATTCATAGTAATTATGCGGAAAACCGCTCAAGAGTGAAAAATCCAAAGTTTGGGAAGAGTATAGAAACTGAGTTTTCATTCACCGACAAACCCTTCCATTAGACACTGAATCTCTTTTCATATCCATTACACCTTCTTACGTGCATCTGTTGTGAAAATATTGTATCAAAAGATATCTTTTGTGTGCATTTTGAGGTATAATCAAAAAGCTGCTGAATTCCGTGACTTCATGGTAAATATTTCTAAAGAGTTCTTTTGCTCATAGGGTGGAAAATAAATAACCTTTCCAGGTGAATCCTCAGAACAAAAGAGAGTGCATTAGACAGCACTGGTCTGGTTCAACAAGGAGTTGAAAACTCGCCAAAAACCGCACAATGAGCACCACACACACATTTGCCATTCAGTTGAAAGTGGTGAAAAATGAGCAAGAAAAAAAGAGAAATGTCGCTCATTCTTCAGTCAACCTCATGAATTTCGTATAAACAATTGGAATTCACAATTTCATCA